CGAAATCCGGCTTGCTCTTCACGAATCTGGCTTTCACGAGTGCCAGTCAGTCTGTGGAGAATGACAGAGGCAAGCAATTTAGAGGCAATCGAAATCAGACTGATCCCTCTATGATTGCCGCATTCTAAACGGGAGCCTCCCTTGAAAATTGGGACAATGACGGAGCGGTTCCAGTCTGTCGGGACTGTCTCCTGCTCCCAAAGTTTTACTAGCAACTCGTGTAGATCATCTACTAGAGCAGGTCCACCGAATTTGAAGAGGGCTGGAGGAATTCTATCTGCCCCTGCGGCCTTATGCAATTTCAACAGCCTGATCTCACGTTCGACTTCTGCGCGTGAGGGCGGATCCAAGGAGACGGCCCAAGGAGAAGGGCGCTCAATGCCCGAAGAAAGCGATAACTCAGGTTGGTTAAATTGTCTAGCAAAGTGTTCAGCCCAACGCTCCAAGCGTTTTGACAGGCTGTGGATCGGCTGCCCACTCTCCTCGCGTATGGTCTCGCTAACACCAGGTCTCCTGCTGCCTGTTTCCCGTATCAGACGGTGAATAACTTACGATGATTACCAATGGCAGCGGCTGTTTCCATCTCAGAGGCACGATGAGACCACCAGGTTTCGCGGTCCTTCTTTAGGCTAGCACGTAGTTTTGCCCTGAGATTTTTGCGAGCTTCATTGTATTCGCTTCCAGCCGGAATACGTCGGCGAGCATCCATAAGTTCCAGAGACTGTGTAGAGACCCAATGTCCGGTTTGGCAATTTGCTTTGCCACATGAAGACATGCCTGCTAATAGCAACGCTTGACGAGTATGCGACCAGTGATCTTCAACGGTGTTTAGTGGGCGCTTACTCAGCCCAGATGTCAGCGCACTTTGGTACACATTCAGAACATCTGGCTTCGCCAGCTGGCTGGTGTCAATCCGTTCACATCGACGTCGCGGACGTCCACCGAAACGCACCAGGAGGTCGGCACAGACAAGTGCGTGGTCAGAGTCCACGCTCGTGCTCCAAATCGAGCGACAGTTTTGGACACAGCCTCTCCAGCGGTAACTGATCGCGATATGATCGATTTGCGTCCATGACTGGCCCGAGGCTGGTGGCCGCCAAGTCACACTTCTGCGGGTGCTGTGTCGAAAGTTAGTGCTCGCGAGAAAGAGGCGAGCATCTTCACACAGCTGTAGCAATCGCTCACCATTATCATTACGGGAGCCTACACCATGTTGGCCGCCCAGATGAAGCTCATCAGAGGACAATTTTCCGACTTGGGCGTTTAGATCGCCAGCCAGCACCACAGTATCCGTGCTTCTTCTGTAACGAAGGAGCTCGTGAAGTTGCTGATAGAAACCATCTTTTACCGAATCAGTGCTACAGTTTGTAGGGGCGTAGGCCGCAATGACAAACAGGCACCGTTTGTCCCCGCGCGACTTCGTAGCACGGAACGAACCAGCTAATCTAACGGCGCACATCCTACTGTTTACTGGGATCCAATCAAGCAGGGCAGCTTCAGCCCGGGGACTCAAAACAATGCCGACGCCAGCTTGACCGGCATTTGAAGCTGCATCATCGCCAGATAGGCGCAATGAGAATGTGCCGCCAGTGTCGCATGTGGGAGATCTCAGGATAAGCACGGAGCTCGAACCTTGCAGGCGGGTTTCTGATAAACAGCAAATATCGATCGATAGGGTCTCTAGTGTGCTGGCAAGTGCTGCCTGTTGGCCAATCTGCAGCAAAGTGCGCACGTTGAGGCATGCCAGTCTTAGCGAGACGCGAGGACTCCAAAGGGAAACAGATGAACTGACGTTGTCCGCTTGGTTGAACATGGACTTGTCGACTGGATTGGAGCGAGGCCCTGCGATTGTGTGTGATTTGAAATTAGAAGACAAGCGACTATTGAAGTAAGCTGGGGGAGGGCCAAGAATTGGGGGATTGAAAATGGGGGGATATAAGTAAAGTTGGAGCGGGACAATAAGGATGCAGAAGCGCAAGAAGGGGTATAAGAAGACGGGAAGGCCTGAGCAGTAGCATCCAAACCCCTATCCACCCTGCTCGATGCAGCAGATAGGGCGCCGTTTATTATCCTCTGCGACGGCCAGAGCATCAAGAAATTGTTGTAGGAAAGGTTCATTGTATTGCGTGGGCAGAATACTGTCAGGTTGCCCAGGCCTAGACAGGAGGACGATTAGGGTTCTCAACCAAAGCCTTTGGTTAAAAAGCCTTACCGCAAGGCAGCGGGTTTTGGCACTGGACTACAGAGCCCGTTTTATGAAATGAGGAGCCACCCCCATTCCAACCCCCAACCTGGAGGACCAGGAGGCTGAGTTTGTCTGGCCTCTAACCATTGACCAATCTGGTATGAGTGGCTCTGGAGGTGCAAAAAAAGCACCACCCAGCATAGCTCAATGGATCTCTGAGGCACGCAAACCATCGCACCACGGTAAGATCCAGCCTCATTGCGATGGGACGGTCCCAGTGATCCTATTAGAAGTGACCGACTTCAAAATCAACCAAGGCCACAATTGAAATTGCATGTCGCAATACAAGACACACGGTGGGAGCTCCAAAACCCGAGAATTAACTTCTAATCGCTGTGTTAAGCACCGCTCTCGGAGCTCAATGGCCTAGCTATCATGGCGATAGCCGCCAAGCACTATGCGCCGTTCCACACCCAGCTCGGCTATCTCTACCTGATGAGTCGAAACCAGAACGGAACCGTCAGTCGTGGAGCGTAGCGACTTTATTAAGTGACAAGTCACATCTGGTACGTCACTGTAGTGTTGAACAGATATGGGTGAGCCGGTTAGTGCATCCCGGCTGCTGAGCTAGGGTCCCAAGGACGATGAACACGTTTAGTTGGAAACACTTGCTGATATGTCGAAGAGTCGGCACTAATAACGTTTGGGTTGTGAGTTTCTTTGTCCACCCCACTCTCCTGTAGATTCCTCCTCAAATCGCATTCGCATAGCAAGTGAATAATAAAATAGTTAACGTAATATTACTTGCTGTTCGAATGCTTTTATGGTGTAATTTTTGGTGTCTTATCTTTTTGTATTGCGACAAATTAGCTGAGGTTTCTCACCCTCAGCCAACGTGCACTGGTGAGGATGATGATTACTGGTTGGAAGCAGCAAGAAGAGAGATCTCCGTGCAGCTGCATCTAATGTCACTCAGGGAGAAAGACCCGTTATGATGATAACGATGATGATGAGGAGGAGGATGATGGTAGGGAGAACGCTTGTCAGGCGAAAACCCATCACGTCCTGAAAAACTGTCGCCGAACCATGCGTTGGAACGGCATAATCTCGTGGCATCAAGCAGAAACCACGAGGTTGTTCGGCAAACCCGTCCAGGAACTAATGCTGGTATAGTGAATCCATTTACGATCATAAGCTTCGTATTGCGAGAGGCTATAACCCCAATTGTAGCCGGGAAATGTTTGTTCGTCAGTGGACTGGGTCGGGGGATTCAGATGGCGTCGGTCTCCCTGCTAGTGGCAGAAATAAGGCCTGTGCAGTAGTCGAGATACTAGGAGATCCCAAGGATCTTTGGAGATCGACAGTACTAACCTCCGTGACTATTTTCGCAGATATTTTCGGCTTATTCGGAGCACCGGCCATAGCCTGGGTCATCGAGATCATTTGCTATGCAGATGGGCCAATAAGCATAAATGTACAGAGGTACAAGACATGCTGGGTACAACGTTTTTACTTTCAGTTTAAGGAGCCATCACCGTCTGCTTCTTTGCTCAACGCAGCCAACTGTGCCTCCTTAGTAGTTCCAATAGGAGTGCTCAATGAACTGGTTTCACTGAGATTCAGCAGATGCCGCGATTCAAGGTACTAGACATATAGGATCATCCTCTGGAACTGCTCTGATGAGCTGAAATATGGTTGTAAAACGGTTAACACTCCTGCTTTTCAGGATGTGGTAAAAAGAAAGCCTCCTTTCTTCCTTGTTTCGAGTTTGAATGACGGCATACGTGCAGCATGAATCAAGCACGATAGGCCTATTGTCGGCTGCTTCCAAACTCGTTGTTCGCATGCTTCTCTATTTCGTAAATCATTCGCTCGTGAAGAACAAACTGGCACCCGTCCCAGATGGGCGTGCGCGCATTAAATCTCCACGATCTATCAACCCCTTGAGAATCACCATTCTCACCACACACCTGTCATGGTTGCCCATTCCACGTTCGAACTGTATTTGACCAGGTAGATCCGCCTGCATTGCGATGCCACTTATATGAGTCGGCACGTTACTGACGAGTCCTAATAGAAGGAAACAGATACCTAGCGCTTTTCTGGATGTATGGTGGCTCCCTAGCTGAGTCTAACAACGACGAATCGTCTGAGAAATACAATAAATTTCCTTACTACTCTCTACTAATCAGCAAACGCCTTAGCAGCTTACATACCATCTCGATGGGTGGTGGCTTGCAAAGGCTGTTGTTGTTGTTCTGAGGACCATTGCTGTCCTCTGCAAGTTCATAACATGCATGACAGAGGATAAGCCGTGTTATATCGCACTGAAAAATCAGTCACAGCGGTCGGTCGCCATCACCAATGGCTTAGTGGCGTAAGTCGCTGACTCGCAAAAGTAAGATCATGGGTTCGGATCCGGCGGGTGCGCGCTACTGGCGAATCTCCTTAAGATGAATTGGCCATCTGGCGCTTTCTTGGACATGTGGAGGCCGCCTGGCTTGGTCAATCTGCTGCGAATTTTCACAATCGAAATACAGCAAAAGCTGCACCAGAGCTGCCAGTGTTTCAAGTTATCTTAAGTTGCACTCGTTGATCGCACACGTGGTTGCACTCAATCAATACACAGATATTGGTTATTGAGCGGAGTGTGGACATGCAAAATTCAGATAGACACCGCCTTTCAAGCAAGCAAGTACAACGGATGGATATGATAACACAGTGATTATAAACTAATAAACGAACAAAAGTGACAGCACAGAGTCGGCAGGTTCAATGTCACTGATGGCCCAGTGTGTACCAAATAAGCGCTTACCATAAACTGATAATGATTCAAGGCAAGCCCATTCAATTCCAACTGAGAGAATATATCTCCCAAGTGCTCGTGCTTTCGAGCTGCTAGCAAGTGCTCGTCAACAGATTCCGGAACGTGATCAGGAAGAGATTGTAACTCTTTGGAGAGAAGCATACCTATTGTCAATTAGCTATCAGAAGAATGGGCGTTACTTTTCTTAATCATCATTCGACAAGTATTTGAAGAGGAGGGTGAGTGCAACTTAAGGAGTCGATAAACCTTTGACGCCTTGCGGAAATTTCCTAAAGACAAATGGATCTGAATAAAAAGGTCAAGAAAATGGGTATAGATTTACGGCAGCATAAGTTTCTTTCAAAGTTTTGAGTAACTCTTTGGATTCACTGTCCGAGCAGGTCTTGGAAATTGGGGAACGCAGAGCCAGACTAAGAACGCCCAGTCGTGAATAGTTCGGTAGACTTACCCCACGATATCCAAGGCATGACGGAGGGAAGAGCTTTTCCTTTGTTCTAGAAGCGATGACTTGGAACACGGTCCACAGTATTTATCACGATAGGTGCACAAGATTAAATCGGTAACTTGATAACTGGCACGAAATAGTAACTTCGGAAGATGATATTTTCTGGCCAAAGATATGCATTGCAAGAATCGTTCATTTGAAGAGCGGTGGTCGCCTATGGATCGAAGTACTTGGCCTAAAACAAAGTGAGTGATTTAGGAAACCTACCTAAGTTTAACAGAGAGACAGCCCTCATCTCTCCTAACTGCTCCGCGCTTAACCCGGAGTCCAACTCACCAATAAGTTTGATACTATTCAGAAAGGCTTGTGAGGCGGACTTGTGGGCTTTTAAAACATCGGCGCCATCTTTCAAATGTTCCGCACGATTTAAAAAACAGCGTCCTAAGGTAACGAAGGCACGCTGCTGCTCCAACTTATTGTTCGTTTCCACAGACAATTTCAAGTACTCGTTTGTGTGCTTGATTGCCTGATCGAATTCGCCTAACTCAATGCAACAATCAGCAATCAAACGATGGCCAACTGCGCATTGGATCCTATCATCTTTCGACCTCCATAGATCCAGGTTCTTCTGGTATTCTTTTAGGGCAGAGCTGTGATCCCCTAAAAAGCTGAGTACATCGCTAAGCGGAAACGCACCTGCCTCAGTGTAGTGAAAGGCGATTTCAAGTGTTAAGTCTGACTTCGTACTTACAGATGTGCAGCGGTCTCGTTGCTCTATTAATTCTAAGAAATACAAGGAAAGTCAGTGGTGGTCTACTTTTGATCTGCATTGGCGGAAAGACCGGACTCAAATTCGCCAGGAAAGAGTGACCAGTTGTAGAAACAACAGTACCATTGTGTGAATAACCATACAAAATGCACTTTTCTCACCAAAACCGATCAATCAGGTATCATACGAGCTGAAAAGAAAACGGGTTCTTGAACGCAAACGAAATAATGCTGCAATCAGACTGAGGAAGGCGCCAAGTATGAGGACCAAATGTGTCGGTCAATCGAAGGAACGCGTATACATTCAAATGCGAAAAAGCGAGGGCTGTGCAGTTACAGCAGCATTCCAGTGGAACGCACTGATAACTTTCTCAACACTCTGCACCCACCCTCATGAACGCACCTCAGAGGGAGTTTGCTGGAAAACATGACCAGTCTTTTCCGATTCCAATGGCGAAACACCGAAACTCGCGGTTTACTCGATTGTTTCAGTTGCTTTTCACGCCAAATGGAATGACCCTAACTACCGAGCCAAATTAGAGTGCATCAGCCACATTGTTGTGCCCCTTTGCTACTAATCATGTAAGATGTCCATATATTGTGAGGCACAGGAAGAAAAGTAAATGCAGTAAACTAGAAGCGAATAATTGTTTTCGACAACTTCGTTAGGCCTTTATAGTAATAAACATGACAGTGATGTTGCCTTTCATTCGTTCGTATAATAAACAAGTAGGTCATTTAAACTGAGATAACAGTTTAAGGTGGCTGATCATGTGCCCGAATTCATGTGAATCTGATGACTTTGTTGACATCCTTTCCCTCTGGTGGCAGTGCGTCAGTTGCGCAGAGTTTACCATCTACTTTTGTAATTACAGCTCAGGTCTAGTTAATCTTATGGATACCGCCTCCACGGTAGCAAGCAGCCTCACTCTTAGTCCATAGCTATGCGTTGTTGGTATTTTATAGCGAAGCTGGAAATCGGTTTTTCTGTTAATTTGGTGACCAGTGTTGAGTAGATTATTAGTTATTGAGACTCCATTTGTTTCATCTTCATGGTTGTGGAACCACCTGGAGAGGTGTTCAGTGATTCGCTTACTAAGGTGCTTGGTCGTATGTCCAAGGTACCCTGGCCCAAGGGGACAGAAAAAACCGATAGGTTACCATTGATTGCAGCTGCTGAGGCACCTGGCCTTTGAATCTAGGAACGGTAAATGACGTGCTCGTAAATACATCGTTCAGATGGGCTTGATTAAACGTCTTCTTGTAGCTTCACACTAGTCAAGTGTGCGGACTTCAGCAGCAGTATTTCCTTTGAAAGGAAGAGTCGGAAACAACTGTTTCTTCGAGACAGTTGGCGTTAGTACTTTCGGACTGTTTCTCCTCGTATGTGTCAATGAAGCGCTCCGGATTCCAGTTCTCAAGAAGTAATTCCTTGATTCGACTGAGTCTGTTTACAAAAGCGTATTCGCTTCAGATTTTGTATGGTGGTCAGTTAAGTTGCGTACAACCGTTCTCTTGCGGCTAAGTGGAACGAAACTGTGAAAGTTAGTGTATGGTCCGATCCAATAAGGGTTCCTGTGCAAGCTGATTTGGATTGCTCCATCGCTTCATATGTTCAGACTTGTGTTTTGTTCTTCGACTGTAAATGTGGCATTCGAGTGAGCCTGGTTGAAACCATCCAATGTGTTCTTTAAGTTGATTGCCAGATCACTCATGCACAAAATATCAGCCACATACCGCCGGTGGAATTTCAAACCAGAGACGATCGGTCTTAGTAGGCCACTTTCTAACATTCACATGTAGATACCTGCCAACAGTGCACCAAGAGGTGATCCCATTGCCACGCCGTCCATTTGTCCGTAAAATTCACTAATGAATTAATATCGTCTGACGAAGAAGTAATCGAAAACAATGGTTCGCTTTTGGCCTAACGCTTTTAATTTTCTTTCTGGACTCTGCTACTAGTTGCACCAGTGCACTTACGGTGGCTTGCCAAGACACAGTTACAGCAGGCCAATCGTCTGACTACTCGGGTGTATTTCAGCTCATCACGTCTACCGCTAAGTGGAATGATGTTGTTGTGACTGAACACAGCACCTGTCCGATCAAGTAAAGTAGAGGAAGAATGATCCTCCCGCTTGTTTAAGGTCGTGGGCTTGACCTTGCTTATCGTAGGTAGGTTTGTCGCGGAAAGGGCACGACATGTCGCTTGGTTGTTTTATACCGGTCGACAATGGTTCGTGTGGAGTTAAGTATTTTAGCGCGTTTTGTAGCGGCTGGATGTCAGTTACTGAGTGTCAGTGATGGGCGAATGCAGTCGTTAGCCACAAATTGAGTCGTACCATACTTAAAAATGGTCCTGTAGGAGAACTTATGGAATCCTCGGGTAGCGCGGAAAATCCTTTACCGAACGCAATTTCGTAGTCGTAAGAGCGGGAAAGATAACAAAGTTGGACTCGTGAATGGAACCACGAGGCACGCTAAAACAGCTTGTTACAGGAATCACCACCCGTAAAAACGTGCCCACTGAATAATGTAAGCTAATCCGATTCGAATGAGTGCATGATGAATTCGCTGACTGAAGATGGGTTGGTGTTTTGGCTCACAAGTGCTTGCTTGTTTGAGCTCAGGTATGACAAGTATCGAGTTACTATACATGTGTCGTGCGGATAGATAACATAGTAGCTTCCGGTAGCATTGTCAGAAGTGGGTACTATGGCATCAAGTTTAGCTGGAACGAGAACGACAAGATAAGCCCGTGAATTTTTCTTCATCATATCCTTGGACCAAGAATTTATACCGTAATTTGAGATTTTGATAAACCTAAAACATAAGCCGCATCACATTCTGGCCAACCAGTTGCCCCAGTAGTCCTTGCCTAATCCTGTTACCTGAAGAGAGTGAATGGCAAACGCAGAAGCTGAAAGGGCGAAGGTCAAATAAATAATGATAAGATCAAGGCAAGCACGCTACGTGTGCTTTCTTCGTAATTGTTCGGCGCTGTTGCTTGGCACTTGGTGAGCAGTATTATCCATAACTCGGATTGCGTTTCATGTCGAGGCATAAGGCTAGTTTCGGAAACTTCGAAAGTTTAGAATGAACAAGAGATTGGACTGTTTTGTTAACTGACAGCTTCTCATTAGCCTTTTTGTGTAGTCTTTTTCACTATAGGTCTCCCAGCAGTTGTGACAGTTCAGGTACGTACAGGAAAAACAGCAGCGGACCGAGAACACCCCTGTGAGACAGCACTCAGAACAGTATATCGGAAGAAAATGCTAGAGTCCACCCGAAAACGCGTCTCTCTTCCCTCGAGAAATGCTGATAGCCGTCAAAACGCATGCCTAGAGACGCCGTAGGAACGCAGCTAAAAGGAAAATGAGAATGTGGGACTGCCAAAGGCTTTGGAGAAGTCAATAAACAGCGCGTTCACTGCTTGACCCTGATCCGCAGACTCCGCCCAGTTAGCTCGGCAAGCAGCGAGTTGGACAGAAATAATAACCTTAGCGAAAACGAAAGTTGAAACGGGTTGGGAAGGGCAAAAGCTCTGAGATGGTTTTTGAGGGCATCCTCACCAGCGTTTCTAATAGTTTAACCAGTATACTGGTTAAACCAATGTATCTGTAATTTACAGGAAGGTGCCTATCGCCCTTCATAAAGAGGGGGCAAATGACAGCGTCCTTCCAGGTAGAAAGCAGATAGTGACTTCTCAAAAAACGCATTACGGGTTCACGAACTTCATTGGTCAGTTTGCACAACAACATGCGATGAATGGCATCGACAACAGCGGCTTTGGTATGATTCAGCTCCCGCATAAGTGAGAGAACCTGTGCTTTTGACACGAAGATATCATTCAAGGGGTCAGTCGGAACTCTATCCTCTAAAGCAATACCTGGTAAAGGGCTCCAGAACAAACGTTCTCGCATAATGCTCGACAAGAAGACAGATCATTGTAGTCATTATGCGTGGTAACCCCACTAGATCCGAGCAAGACCGAGATGGATGGGTTCACATGGCTTCCTCTTCTGATATAAGTGAAAATCGCTTCTGGTTGGTTAAAGATGTGCTTGCTAGTTGCACTTACGCGGAGGGGGACTAAGATGAAAATCGAAATTTTGACCATTTTGGGTTTCTATACATAATTCGCAATTATTCATGGTAGAAAACAGCTGTGCAAACGGGGTTTAAAAAAGAATGCGTATTAAAGCTCAATTTCTGCATTTGTTGAAGCATGTGTACCTTTTCGAAGTTTTCAAGCTCATTGCGTATGCAAAAACTTTGACTAAGAGACTTCATTCAAGTTGTAAATTGGTCTATAAACCTAGTTTTCATGGTACACAGCATAAAAAAGTTTTTATTGGTCCGCTTATAGAGGACGTTTCGTTCAGTCAGCGCACTCGTTTCGTAACAACATACCGGTCGATACGTCGCGGCGTTGGCCATTGTCTGTTGTTATGCGGACAAAACCATTTTACGATTGTGACAAAAGATGCTCTAATTGTGGGTCAAAGAAAGGTAAATCGAGGTGAAAAACCAAGAAAACGTATATTTCATGACAATCGGTACTCTAAGAAGCAGGAACAGGTAGCTGGAAGTGATGAAATTTGGGGTTTTATGAAAAAAACGAACTATCTACGTCTGCTTCTAAAATCAAACTGGGACCTCAAACCTCGCAGGCTGAGCTTGATAACACTGAGGAGCTCACAGGTGTTCGTTTTCCCGACGTTCAGCTTCTCATTAACTTTGTAGAGACTATTGTGCAGTCAGCGTAGACAACTTCTGGGCGAAAACAAGTCCTAGGTAACAGAAGGGAGAAGCTTGCTTGCCTCAAAGCTCAGTTTTCACTGTCAATGTCAATATACCGGTTTCTTTTATGTCCTCTGAAAAATGTGGGAAAACATATGAAGTCAACCGAGGGTATCCAGCCGCTTTCTTTGCTCTAGGAAGGAACTTTATGCATGTCAAGAAATTTTTCGGCAATATGAACATGCCAAGTAGTATGCATAAAAGCAGTTTGTCTCTTCATAAGAAGAAAATTCTTCAGACTACAGAGACAGTTGTACAAGTATGCAGAGAGTTGCATCTGAGATGAAGGAAAGGAAAGGAGAAGTCATAACAATCTCCTGTGATGGCAAAGGAGTGGGTTCCAGAGCAAAAATGGTGTAGTCACTATTCTAACTGTGGATGGACTCAAAAGTTCTAGACACGGCATTTCTGAGTAACTATTTCAACTATTGTGCAAAACACAAGATGAAAACTGAGGCCGAGTTCCAGGCATGGAAACTTTCCCATGTTCAGGACTGTGATAAGAATCACGATGGATCCGCAGGCAGTATGGAGCCAGCTGGAGCACTAGAAATGTTCAGGCGGAGT